GCAGAACGTTATAAACATTATCAAATCAGTCCAGAAGTTTCAAAAAGCAGGATAAATGTAGTCTGTGTAACACCTAGATCAATGTTATATAAATGTTATAAAGCTGGAACAGACAAACGACTGTACTGTAATAACAAACACCTAATGATTCTACTTTAGTGAGCATATGTTTTATCAATAAATAGTGTGTCTCTTCTACTGAACTCTCAGTAGTTTGTGGTGGAACACTTCTACGAAGAAAACGCGATTGGTGAAAAATAAACATTTATTATTGTACTCGTTTTGTGTAACTGTACCAAAAACACTTCTACTTCTTGCGCGCAACGTTCTTTTGGCGTTGCTGCCATTTTTCATGACGTGCTGCTCTCTATGTAATGTCTACTTTCTCTTTTAATAAAATATTCAAACATGGATTTATTTTGATTTAAGTGATGGGACAGTTTGGAATATTTAGTGGTGATCATAGTCAATCTGCGACTCGGTCACCACTAAAAGTTCGTCCGGATTTCAATGCTGATGAGAGTTATAAGAAGTGCGATCAGAGACTCAATGAAAATTTTCTCTGGCGCTCTAACACTTTGCAGTGCAATGAACAGCTACACGGAGCGTCGGTTAAGTTGAATGACTTCCTCTCAACGGTAAGTATAATATTCATTCCTATATAAAGCAACTACTTAGCTTTGATTAAACAACAGTGAGAGGATGGGTAGTTAGTTAAATCTTGGAACTGTTATTCTCCGGCTACTTTATTGTGCAAACAAATTCTCCAGCCCTACATCAACGTCATCACACTCATCTCCAACATTGCACCCTACGTTAATTTGTCTGCCTCATCTTGCTCTGCATGGTTTGTCACCTCGAAAGACACTAACCATAACGCCTAGGAAATACAGCCACCTTCATCAGTATTCCTTTATGTCGCTATATATGTTACAGATATTCACGACTTGGCATACCATATTGTCTGCAGCATATTGATAAATCAAAGATTTCAAACACAATCAAACCAGAAATCATGAATGAAGAAGCAGGAAGACATATTCAGTAAAAGGACAAGCTACTTGTACTTAAAGGGTTTCTTCATTATCACAGAAAGTCTGTGTCAGTATGACATTCTACCTAGTAGGATTTAGACAGGTTTGGTTGTAAAAGGTCCACTGGGAATAAAGAACTCAGTAACAATGTTGAGAACATTTAGGGTCACCTGTTTCGAGTATTCATTTACCGGTACAAGTTTTTCACATGTAAGATTCAGGAAAACTTTTATGCAGTGGAGGGATTTCATATAATTGCTCATCAATATTACAGATTCCACTGAAGTTTTTCCAGTAAAAATATATTTTAAATCATTTGGTTTTGTCTAAGTGGATAGATGTTTAGTCCACTTCTGCTGAATACAAAAGCTCACACAATGAAAATATTTTCTAGAGATGGTGGAGAACTGTAACAAAAACCATATCTACCAGTTAAACCAGGTACCTGCAAGTTCGGACTACTACTCAGACATATGTTTCTGCGTTAGATTCTGATATATAAGAACAACTAAATGCGCTTTGAAATGAATCTATCCTTCACTTTCCGTATTTCATGCTTAGGCGAACCCCGTTTATTCGACGGTGGTAATTAGGAGCCAAATACGGATTCATTTGAATGAGTTTATTTCAGTTGGTCCTTCATGTAGGCTGACATGAAAATGAAAATCGTAAAAGCAAAGCGTAGCGAAATGGAAAAGGTAGGCGACCAGATCCCAATTGATGAGTCATGACTAAGTATTCAGAGTCAAATAAGCCAGACATGCGATAAGCGAAGTAAGCAATGCACAAACATACTGCATACAGCGAGGGTTATGAGCGAGTGATTGACAAGACCGAAAGGCAGGTGAATAATGACTCACACAGAAAATAATAATTAGTTGACCCCGAAGCTAGGACAAACAGTGTGGGCTCAACATGTTTGGCACATACACGACACCTAATGTCAGCTGACGGCCTAGTGAACACCAGACCTAATCCTGACTTAATACTAGAAAAACTCAAATCTCTGCAACCGGAAAAGCCAACAGGATGCAACTATGCTCGTCCTTTAACATTAAAACAGTGTGCAGAACCCCTCAGTTCACCGGTATATGACCTGTTTAGACATTTACCGGAGGTACACTAGCTCATAGATGAATGGAAACAAGCTACTCTCTCTCTCCAATCTTCAAAAAGGATCCAGTCTGTTACAGACCAGTTGCATTACCACCAATGCTATCGAATGTGATGGAAGAGCTGGCGGACGAGAGGGTATACAGATAAGAAAGACACAAATCATGAAGCTCAACACGTATTGAAGGCAGGTCGTGTTCATTCAATCTTCTCATCATATGAGACGTCTGGACAACCTGCAGGGACCGAAAAATACCGATTCATGTAATATTCCCTAACTCCCGTTGCCCTCCCAGTTGCAAAGGATGAGAAAATGGGCTTCATTGATCCATTTCGATCTTGGCCACGAAACTACCTTGAAGACAGAAAGTTTATTACCAAGGTAAATAGAGTGCGTGGAGGCTGACGAGTCTCAAAATCAGGAGTTACCCAAGGAACTATCTTAGGTCCACTTCCCTTCTCGATATTCAACAGTGACCTGTTCGGTAAAATTAGCTCACCGGGAATAATCTGAGATTATGCAAAGATCTGGAGGTCTATTAGAAGCGAATATGATTCAAATGAACTTCCAAAGGACCTTGAAGAATGGGTAGTGGAAGATGTGTTAAAAATAAACCAGATTAAACGTGACTTCATGGACATTCTGCCACACGTGACACATACAAGTTACATCTCCTATAGATGACCGCTTTTAATGTCTTCTCAGAGCACATGCTGAATACATAGAGAGCCGACGTAAATATAGAAGAATTCACTTCAGTGAACTTTGATGTCGAAACAGTATGAGGTATATATGCGCATTACCCAGTCCAAATTCAAAATATGTTTCTGGGTAAGAACGATTCTATTATTAATCAAAAAAGGAATACAGACAATTACCTAAACAATATTATACTGTCCCGATCCAAAATTAACACAATAAGTTTCCAATTCTGGAAGAATGCGTTCTTCCAGTCAAGAATACGAAGTTACCGCAAAGGTATCAAATCCGATAAGGCCGTAGCCATATTAAGTATCAACTTAAACAACACATTTACAGTTCAGAAGGAAACATATAAACTGCAATAAAAGTACAGAAAATAGCAGAGATAAAAAAAATACAAATAAAAACATTCCGAATTGGGATTAACAGAGTACCAAAATACTGAACAGAACGAGTTAGCGAGATCACAACACTATAATATACTTGGAGGGATTTTCCCAAAAACGAAGCCTTCAAAATGGATTCTACAGTAAATATGTGAAGGATCTAGCAGTGACGGCCGGAAAGTCTGCAAGACAACGAAACTTGAGACAGTCGTATAACACAACAATGAAGCTCGCTCTTTCAACTTCGAGATCAACAGGCTAGATTCCGATAGGATTGATCGTGTACCGAAAGAACTGCAACATTACGGATGATTATTGAACAACCAACTGAATAGAACTCACCGCTCTACGTCAAATTCGTTGACTGCGAAAAAGCATTCAACAGCGTAGACAGTACCACATTATGGTGGCTTCTTCGGATCGGCAAAGCGACGGAAACATTTCTTCTATTGAACAATTTCTGGAATTCGAAACAACTATCAGTCAGGACCAAAGTCACAATCTGCAATACAAATGTCAGGACAGTCCTACTGTATGGGGCGGAAACTTAAAGAACAACAAAAGCCATCATCCACAAGATAAAATTGTTTATTACCAGTTTCCTAAGTAAAATAGTTCGGATCCGTCGGCCAGTCACTATAAACAACAACCTAATGAGGTAGGGAACAAACTAGATCCCAGTGGAGTAGGAATTTATGGAGCAGCGCTGGAAGTGGATAGGATACGCATAAAAGAAATCACCCAACTGCTTCACAGGACAAGTCCTGACACGGAATCCTCTAGACCAAAAGAGGATAGGAAGACCGAGGAACACATTGTGTCGAGAAATGGAGACCGACATGAGTAGAATGAAGAAGAGATAGACAGAACAAGAAAGGGAGGCCCATGACAGAGTAGGATGTATCATGCTGGTCGGCGGGTTATGTTTCATTGGGGGTAACAGGCGTATGTAAGTAAGTGCGCAGTTGGATGCGAAGACTAGCAAATAAATGGGTAATAGGTTTTAAGAATAAATCTCGTGAATATAGACTTCAAAAACAAGTATTATTCTCTCTGATTTACGTGAGAATCAGAGGTGTTTTGATAATAGTGTACAAGAACACATCAAAGAGCGACCACTCCAGTTCGTGTATACTTTTCTCAATAGGTCTTGTTGCTGCTCAGAGTTTTTTCTCATCCGAAATGAACACAGTTCCTTCAATGGATAGCTTTAATTACAGACTTGATAAGCGTGTACCCATATACGGATTATCTTCTCCCGTTTCGAAAAGTTGTGCTTGATGAATGTTACGAAACTTACTAACTTAATCTATCTCGTTTATTATCTCCGTTTCCTCTCCCTTGCTTAAACTTCCGTCCTTTCGCACAGTCTCTACTACCAGATAATTAACTTACTCATTTAGTTAGTTCTGAATCTTATCATTAGCATTAGAATTTCCTTCTTGCTATTCTCCACATTGCAACTAACTGATTTCAGGCCTGGTAATGTGAAAGCTGGAAGTAGCCAGGAACCCTAATTCTCTGAAACAAACGTAATCATTCTAATCACGGGATATATCAATTCAAACATAACTACCAACTGATTGGAATTAGTGCAGTCGAGTGGCTCGGCTACCATCCATTGGACATTACCGAAAGAACAAGAAATGAGCTCAGAGAAATCCATCGGTTTATACAGGCTCATGAAAAAATATTGGATTATATTGTATGTCGGATGTAAATCCTTTCTAAACACTCCTATCCTGGAGGTTGTTTAAGCACCTTGAACAAATTTTTCCCCTGAACGCGGGTTCTCAACCTGTCTCCAACGTGTACTCTAATTAAACGTTTATTTCCCCTTATACCGACTGCTGGGGAATGCCAATGAAGCTCGATATAAAAAGAAAACTTTTATCAAGATCTGACAGAGTTAAATGCGTGGATTTACACTCATCAGAACCGTGGATTTGTGCTGCATTGTATAATGGAAATGTGCATATTTGGAATATCGAAGCTCAGCAGTTGATAAAAACAATCGAAGTTTGTACAAACCCTGTTCGTGCTGTAAGGTTCGTAGCTCGTAAAAATTGGATAGTTACAGGCTCCGATGACATGCAAGTGAGTTTCAAATAACTATTTGAATATGATTGATATAATTTCTTGATTAACAAGTTAGCAGGCCTATCAGAGCTATACTCATTTTCTTGTAACTATTAGGACTTAAAATATTATGTCATATTTTATGTCCCTTAATTTCACTCAGTATTTCCTGTAAGTTTGATTTATTAGAATTGCTACCATTTTTGTTACGTATCATTTTATCCTTGCTTTTTCTTAACGTGAAGTTCTAGTTTCGTGTAGATTTTCATTTTAGTCATGTCATGCATGTTACTTTTTTCATGTTTGTAATCACAGTTGCGAGTTTTCAATTACAATACGCTTGAAAGAATTCAGCAAATTGAAGCCCATTCTGACTATATACGATCCATTGCTGTGCATCCTACTCAACCATTTATCCTTACATGCTCAGATGATATGCTTATACGTTTATGGGATTGGGAAAATAACTGGACATGTGCTCAGGTATGTTTTAAATCTAGGCAGCAAACATTTTATCTTGCTAATTGGTTTGCGGATTAAATTATTACAAGCTAAAGTGAATGACTGAAGATGTAATTCAGTAGTCTGAGCGGTTAGCCATATGCTTAAGCTCACTTCATTTACCATATACGATTTGCTACACAGTTGGAAGATATCAACTCAATAGTAACGCAAGACGACACAATTAGTGAATGTAACACAATTACTCTCCAACACTATGAGCCTGAAGCTCTTCAGTTAGCTTCCAACTATTAAGAAGATAAAAGGAAGACAGACCCGGTCTGTGATCTCAAAAAATATATGTTATGGAAGAAGCACTATTTATTTAGGTTTTTTTTCCGGATATTATCAATTACATTTGAATTATTATAACTGAAGGACGAATTTCATACTGAATGAATGCATAACACAAATTATCAGAATGCCTTGGAAGAGCATACTGAAATAATTAATAACTTGGATTGTCAAAACGTAGTAAATGTTAGACTGAACCATTGAGTTAATCGACAACCTTCCTGTTGACCAACTATAAACGAATTACACATTATTTGAAGTTCAAAATGGCATATGACTATTCAGTAGGAAGTTACTGGAACAAAAATTCAATTATTGACGTATAAGTCTACATACTATGAGTTTTCATAAAGACCCGTGAGGAAAATCCACGGAGTAAGGCGAGATATGTTACTTTGAAGACCAAACTTTTATAATCCCTTCTTTCCGTTATGGGAAGACGGCATAGTTGTGGATCCTGAATATCCGAGTCAAATATCTTACTACCGTCACACCCCAGTATAGTCGTAAAGTCAACTGTACGAACCCACTTTTAGATCGTGAATTTTTAACCGTTCCTCAGCTGACTTGTGGGACCAAAAGAAACAAACGTTCTTGCCATTGTAAGTTGATGTAAAAGCCGGACCACCACATGAAAGTAACAGCGGCGATTGGATAGCAATATGTCAGCTTGTTCCTGTCATTCGGAAAACGACACTTGTACTTTTTCTGTTTTTCTCAGGATTTGGATATGCATCTTTTACTTGGGTTACCGTTATTCGTGCTAGCAGCTCGCTACCTGTTTGGCGTGACGTTTGCACATAGAGAGTTCTGGCATGCAGTTAACAATACGATTTAAAGAGATTGATAATCGTCTGATAATCTGATCAGCAACAGGTGTAGACTAAAAAGTTGTTGAAACTGTAGCGATTATGTTGTTAACAACAGGAGATACTGAAAGTGGCTAAATCGTTGAAAAACGAATATAGCGCTTGATAAACAGGATATATATCTTCTTTGTTCCCCTCGTACTACTTTATTACTACTTTTGTGGATTTTGACATTCTTATGGTACCTAGAATGAAAAATACATCGTTGTTGCATCAAAACAGAACCCAAGGTACATCTACCTCATTTAACGAGACGCAGTTTTCTTTAAAGACTTATCGTTCCTTGCAGATATTCGTTTATTCCTTGTATGTGTTTATCATTTCGTTATTTTAGGTGTTTGAAGGTCACAACCATTATGTTATGCATTTAGCATTCAATCCGAAGGATAATAACACGTTTGCTAGCGCTTCTTTAGATCATACAGTCAAAGTGTGGAGCCTGGGATCAACTTCTCCGAATTTCACTTTAGAAGGTCATGAGAGGGGAGTCAATTGTGTCGACTATTCCACATCTGGTGATAAACCTTATTTGGCTAGTGGGTCGGATGACAGGACTGTAAAAATATGGGATTATCAAACTAAAGCATGTGTTCAAACTCTCGAAGGTCATGCCCAAAATATCAGGTAATCAACTATAGACTTCCCATGCGTAGTTTCGTTTCTTAAAGAAACTATTTATATATACACATGGTAAAGGGCAACAGATACCCAGGATGCTTCAAAGTTTGAACGCATTAGGTTTATCTTCTAAGGATTTCCCTGACGTATTATTTAGTAATAGTCCCTTATGTCGTTAAACTTTTATTTATCTAGACACAATTATTGATTTAAAAGAGCATTTATATATTTAGGCATCACAAAAATCAATGAATTTTTGTGGGTTGGAATACTGCTCGGGTACCCAAACTGAAGAAGGTGGAGTTTTTTAGAGGGCCACGCTCCCAGCCTTTCATTCGCAGATTCAATCCAAAAAGCAGTGGAGCAACGTAAGGAGATGCGATCCCTTAGTAGCCAGTAACTAACAATAGGTTCACACACCATTTGTTTCCTCAGGATCCTGAAGCTCACGTGCACTATTGGTTTGAAATCAGGGTTTTCCAACTCCCCTAGGTGGATTCATCGTACCCACGAACCCGGTTTAGACCCTGTTTGGACATTCGCTCTTCATTCTCTTGATTTCGTAAACAACGTTTCCACCGATTGAAGGCAGTGAGCAGGACTTCCGTTGCAGTGGCTGTACACTCATGGTCGTACGAGAGGGTTTTGCGAGGGAGAGCAATTTCTCCCCACTCGGCTGTGTCAGGGCATTTGGGGACATCATTTAGCTTACTAGTTCACCGACTCCGTCTGTTTTAGTACGACTAATCGAGATTTGACTGCTCATTCATATTCTTAATAAATAGCTTACTCTAAAATCGATCTATTAATCCCAATCACATGCAATTTATATTCTCTAAATTATTATATTCTTTTCGACACAGTTTATACTCCGTCATCCTTGTGAATAAATCTCTATTGATTTCCATTGCCATATCGCTAGTAGTGCAGTCATTTGTTTGTGTGTTGAATTCCTCTATTTTTTCTATATTTTTTATTCTTTTTCCTAGTTCCGTTTTATTTCATCCTGAATTGCCAATCATTCTTACTGGGTCCGAAGATGGTACTGTACGATTTTGGCATGCCAACACCTATCGTTTAGAGTCAACATTAAATTATGGTTTAGAACGTGTTTGGACTATGACATGTCAACGTGGTAAACAGATCGTTGGGATTGGTTATGATGAAGGCACAATTGCTATCTCTTTGGGTCGGGATGAACCAGCCATGTCTATGGATTCATCTGGAAAGCTAGTTTGTGCTAAACATTCAGAACTAGTTCAAGCGAATTTACGGTCGTTGAATTTTGGTGGAGAAGGAAGTGAAGCAATCCAAGTAGATAAATAGATTTTTATGGTAACGATTGTTCTGTTGGTATTAGGGAAGCGGATTACTTAGTTTATGACTATTTCTGTTGATATTAGGCACTACAAGCTTGGGATTTTTTTAATTCTTAAAGTTGCGTACAAATAAGCTTTAGTGGCTGCGTTGAACTTGAGGTATGGCTCACCTCTTTAGTGGCCCGATCTCTAACTCTGATATTTACTAACAATTAAGGATGCTGTGAAATAAATCGCTCCTTCAGTTTCCGTACATCATACTTGGGCGTACCCCGTTTGTGCGACGGTGGTAATTTGAAAAGCCAAATACGGATTCTATTAGATGGGTTTATTTCAAGCAATCATCCATGCATTCATTTACGCAGACAGACATGAGATTCGAAAGCGTACAAGCAGAGCGAAGCGAAATGGAGAACGCGAGCAAACCAACTCCACTTCATATTGCTCTGCTTGCATGCTTCTCATTATCATGCCTGTCTGCACGGACGATTGCCTGAAATAAACTCATCCAGCCGAATCCGTATTACCACCGTCGTACTAACGGGATACGCCTAAGCATGGTATACAAAACTGAAGGAGAGATTTATTTCAAAGCATATTTAGTTGTTTATAAATATCAGAGTTAGATCACGGGCCAATAATGTAGTGACCTCTACCTCGAGTTCAACGCAGCCCACTGAAAAGCCATTTGACTCAGAATTAATAATCACTCTCTCAAGTTCTAATCATCTGAATCCCTCATCACCTTTTGTTTTCTATTTTTAAATTGATTTCGTTGGATTGTGCGAAATCTCCGTTACCGCTAATGCTTCTACTATTTCTACCACTATGGGATTCAAACCGACCGTTCGATATCTTTGCTAATGCGGTATGAAAACTTGAACTGATGTAAACGCGAACGAGACAATGAACCGGCGTCCAGGTAGTCTACCTTGATCTGAAACGGCTAAAGAGAAGTCTTGATAAGTATAAAAAGTATATTCTACAAACACCCATCAAGCACAATACAATCAAGCACACAAATTCCGTTTATTTATACATCATAGAAACGTCCTTGGTACAGTCACGAAAATAGCACACTAAAATACATAACAGCCAACCACAGCCAAGGACTTTCCTGGTGGGAAATGAAATCTTAAAGTCAACTGATCAGCCCATGCTCGCAAACACGGAATCGGGAATTAAGGGATTTATCAAGCGAGTTCTGGGGATCTAACGTCCCCAACACAGACTGACTGACCTTTCCGTACTCTATAATCAATGTTTTACTTTTATGATTACTACTACTACCAAAATATTTCTATCTTTTTCAACCGTACAGTTGTTCTTATGATACACCGTGTCCGAGAGCTGACACTCATACCCACTTTCTATGAACGAGCCCAACCACTCAAGAGAAAATGAAGTTATTTGACTGACCGCATAACAACTGTACACTTAATTAGATAAATATGTATGTCCCTTTAAGCATTCTCAGTAGAGTTTATGTCTCACCCCTTAGATAATAGAGCTATTCCTTAGCCGATCAGGTAAATTTATTTTATTTTGAAGATTTCTCATTAGGTATACTGTATTCATTCGTTTGATGAGGCTATAAACTTACATTAATTTGTGGTTGCAAAAATGTCTGCTTCATGCATAACTATTCATTATCAACAATGGTTTGGAGATCTTAGTTGGAATTCGTCTTCTTTTGTCAAAATCAATATGTAAATTCCCAACGTAAAAATAGTTCTGTTGTTTGAATCCAAGAGAAACTAGGAAAAGGTGTGTGCATGTGAGATCAATTGGAACTAGGGTCATCTGGGTCTTGTTTCAAGGTTTATTTTACCAGCTGACAACAGTGTAGAGGGATCGTAACCAGGATTATGAGTGACAAGTCTTCTTTTAACACTAATAAATGTGTCATACACAACAATAGTTCTCATGGAGATTCTTACTTTTTAAACTTTCTTTGCATTGGACTTAATGTTTCTTCTGTTGATTCCAGGATGGTGAACGTCTGCCAATTACTTTCAAAGATATGGGCACCTGTGAAATATACCCACAAATTATCGAGCATAACGCTAATGGACGTTATGTAGTTGTTTATGGTGATGGCGAGTACATAGTTTACACTGCTATGGCATTAAGAAATAAAACATTTGGTCAAGGTTTAGAATTTGTATGGTGTCAATCCGATGCTGGTGTATATGCTGTTCGTGAGAGTAATGCTGTTGTTAAGGTATATAGTCATTATGTTTTTGTTAAATACATTGATCTGGTAAACACATGGGGTGGGGGAGTATCCTCGCGCGCCTACACACATCAATTCATTGATTTGTGTGGTGCATATGCGCTTTGATGTCTCTTTTTGTATTTGAGTGGATAAAATAATAACTACATCAATAATTTGTTTTTAATGTGTAATTTTTCATTTTAATGTAAACCCTTCTTCAATTCAAAAAGTAAATATATATTTGACAATGTACTACAATTCCATCGAAAATGTCTTGAATTAGGACTTGAATTTATCTTATAGTTATAGTGTATTAAATTGTTGGTTCGTATTCTTCAAATTTCAACCACAGGCCTGAACTTCTTTCCATCTATTTTAGTTTGAGCCATTCTGCTAGCATAATAAGCCGATTCACGAACACGTGCATGGTTACACATAAGTTTCACTGGTTATCATCAGATAGTTGTATGTTTATTGATAACGACTTCATACATTTATCAGTTAGCGTATTATTTTCGATAATTTTCTGGAAATTTCCATGGAAATACATGTACTTCGTAACATCACTTGGATAAAACGTCTAAATAATCAATCAGCGTTTCAGTGTTTTTAAAGTATTAACGATTTCATTAACAACTGGTTTACTCTTAATTGTCTTGCATAAACCTTATTATATATTCACTGCCACTGTGTGATTTGCAACCCTATATATGTGAATGACATCATTCTCTGAAGCCATTAAACGTTGGACTAATCTATGTTTGATTAGTATAGACTGCCTAATTTGAATCCACGTGATTATCATATTCAATGGTTGAAGATGTTTGCTAACATGACACAGAATTGTTCACAATGGTGCAGGTGTTCTCAGTTCCTTGACCTTACTCTAAATCATCGGCAAGAAATTCTTTCTCTCCTCTCGAATCATATTATTGTTTCTGCCTAGTCCTTGGTAGTTTACTGATAGATACTCTTACTTCTAAGATTTTTCTCCGATTTGTGTTGACAATTTCATTTCATTGTATTCATTTTTGTGATGGGAAATATGGACTGATACACATCTGTATCACAACCTGCGTTGTTTATGTCTGACTGATGGATTAAATTTTCTTATAACAAGGTAAATAATATTTATGAACGAAATATCATTATTTTGCGCCCAAATGCTTTCATAAAAGCATTGGCGGGGAAGTCCTGCTTACTACCACCTCTTCTCAGTGGGGTATTGTTTACGAAATTGAGAGGACGAAAAGTGAATGTCTGATCAGTGCTTAAACTGAGTTGTTGGGTACAGAGGGTCCACATAGGTGAATTGGAAAATCCTGATTCCGAACTCAGTCAGTCAGTCAGATGCAACGTAGAACTTGGTACGTAAGTACATCAGTTCGTGTTGCCATACCACATCAGCACAGAGATATAATTGTCAATTCAAATCCAATAGTAGTAGAGGTAGTAAAGGAATTAGAAGTAATCGGAGGGGTTAGGATTAGAGGATACTATTCAAGAAGTATGATTAAATGAGAAAAGTTTATAGAGTCGAAACTAGAGGGGTTGAAGAATCCAGAAGATTAGGATTTGAGAGAACACAGAGAATGAATGCACCGGCGCCATTGCGAACGATTTTGAGCCATGTCATTCAAGGTCTCTAACCATCGATTATTATCATCTCGCGGACCCCAACCAGGTAGTCGACAATTACTGACGTGGCTCAGTCCACTCGTCAATGACTTCATGGGTTTCTGCCATGTTTTGGTCTGGCCGCCCCTAACTTTCTTCCAATCTACTCCTACACTACAAAACAAAGCTCGTCGAGGCAATCGGTGGTTCGGCATACGCAAGACATGTTCCAACCACCTCAAATGATGAAGTTTCACCACTTCATCGATTGATCTGCCATCCTTGCCTAGTACTCGTTTCCTAACGACAGCATTGCTTACTCGGTTGTCCCACGTTATACGAGCAATGGTGCACGTAAGCTCTAGGATTCTGAGGAAACAGGCTACCATGAGACCTGCATCATTGGACGTTGCCCCATGGCTTTGTGGATTAGACCAGTTGGTGAGAGACTCACAGAGTGCCCTCCCCCGAAGAAAACCACCCTGTTCTATCTGAACACCCAAACAGTGTCTCAGCCCATTGCCTAATTATTTAGGTGCTCCTTTGTAGCAATAATTATATGTTTGAATAAATGAATGAATAAAACATTATCCAAACAACACTGTGTATACATCATTAATTTCTATCTTTCTTATTTAAAAAAAATTTTATATGAAGGTTTACAAACAAATGAAAGAGTTACGTACATTTAAATTAGATTATGGTGCTGAACAAATATTTGGTGGCTATTTATTAGGTGTACGTTCAATAACTGGTTTAACATTTTATGATTGGTTAACTGGTCGATTAATTCGACGTATTGATAATAATTCCAAAAATGTTTATTGGAATGAATCTGGTCAATTAGTTGCATTGTGTACAAATGATTCATTTTTCATATTACGTTATTCAATGGATGCTGTACCGGATTTAGATGTATCAACAACTAATAATGGTCATGAAAATGTAGACGGATATGAAAAAGCTTTTCAAGTAAGTTAGAGTTCTGTTGTTGTTGTTGTCGGTGTTGCTTTTGACTTTTATTATAAATAAATTTCAATGTGCACATAAAAAAAATGGTAATTAAATGGTTGGTACTTTCATGTCCCACTATCTACCTTTGAAATGATCATATTTTTGATTACGTCTGTTACCCTTAAGAGAGAGTATAGGCCTCCAATCAGTATTTTCCATTCAATTCTGTCCAGAAACTTCCTTGCCAGTTCTAGCCAATTGCAGTTCATTCTTTTCATGTTTGCTTCCGATTCTCGGCTTAATGTGTTCTTTAGTCTTCCTAATTTCCTTTGACCTTGAGGATTTCAAGTGAGGATTTGCTTCGTGGCGAAGTTGAGTGCTTTCCTGAATGTGTGTCCTATCCACTTCCAGCTCTTCTTCCTGATTTATTCCTGTGCTGGAATCTGGTTTGCTCTTTCCCGCAATAGGTTGTGTAATGAATTGTTGTAAATAGTCAAGAATTTCACTCCTGTCCTCATGCACCGATTTCATTGAATGGAACAAGCTCTACGCGAGTTATTATTTACTGCTGTTGGCGTTGGATAGTAAATAAAGATAATATAGAATAATGAATGATTTTTCGGAATTAATATCCGTTGCTCACGGCTTATTATGTGAATTATTAAATGTAATAGTTTGATGAGATGTCAATCACAGTGACCCCACTGTCTTTCGCTCTAAACTTTAACACTACTCATAAGTAGTATGGTGGACATCCGTAACAAAAAGTTTTAGTCATATTCTCACCAGGATTGTATCATGTTAGTGGTCTCTGTGATTGAAAAGAAGCATTTCTTAACTCGACTTGTGTTTTTCCAGACGTCTGAATGTAAAACCAGTTTGAATGTTTGTCAAAATGTATTTTTCTAACTGTAATTTTAAACTCTAGTTAGAAATGATCAAGAAATACATACTTGTCTAAATAGTACGATTTGAATTTGGTGGAAATATGAAAAAATGCGCACATTGAAATCGTGAATAGAGTATATTTCCTACTTATGCTTTTAACTCATGTATAACAACTGGAAAACTCAAGAGTTAATATGTTAGACTATAAGTGAACTACCTGTTATCCCTGATGGAACATAAACCACCGACCAGCGATCTTCAACCATATATGTCCTGGACCCTCCTTTCCAGTTCTTCCCAAGCACTATTTATTCTTTTTATGTCTATCTTTAATCCTCACCATTATGTGTTTCTTGGTCTATCTCTCTTCCTTTGGCCTTGCGATTCAGTTGAGAGAGTTCAGTGATGTGTGTCCTATCCACCCCAAGCGGTTTTTTATTCGAATTTCTTCCTCATTTAGAATCTGGTTTGTTCTCTCCCGCAGTAGGTTGTTGCTAATGGTGTCTGGCCAATAGATCCTCAGTATCTTGTGTAGACAACTGCTTATAAACACCAGTATCTTTTGGATGATGGCTTTTCTAATTCTCCAAGTTTCCGCTTCACACAATAAAACTGTCTTTACGTTTGTATTGAACATCTTTAGACCGACCGTTCAGCAATAGAATTATTCAGTAAATCTGACTTAACAATAAATGTTAGCCAATCATGAGTAAGCAAGTTCATCCTAACGTTAAAAACAAAGTATTGTTTATCAAACTTAGATGATTAGTTGTAATGGTACAAATATCATTAAATTATTGAGATTAGTATTTAGAGGTTAGAATTTAGGACTGAGATAATACTTAGACCAACTATAAAATCTAACCTCAATCTATAATCCATGTGTCTCACATCTGAACGTGAAGTTCAACCCTCAATGTTAAACACCACTTACTAATCCAAATACCACATTGTACCGGTAAATCCGAGACCGTACTCCTATAATCACAAGCATTATATTCAAATTCTAGCATTATAGGTCTCGATTGTCTGAATTAGATCGAAACCTTGTTAACTTGAAAATCACTAAAACTTGCCTACAACTGTATATCAATATTGATTCTGCTAAAGATATCGATTTGTGCTCTCGCAGCTACTTGAAGGTGTGCGGAATCCGATTGGACAGTTTTTACCAATAACTTCAATAACTTCAATCAGCATTAAATCATTCAAATTTATTCTTTCATTGAATTTCAGATTGGTTAATTGCGTTTTGATGTGAAATATTGTTTTCTTTTTAAAAAAAATGTTTATGCTACCGAAACTTCATGTTTTATTTTATTTTTATCTCAACTCAACATTTATTTACATTGGTTATTGTACTTTTTTTTGGTTGTTGTTGTTGTTGATAGCTTGTACCAAATGGTGAAGTCAATGTTCAAGTACTTAATGGTCGTTGGTTTGGTGATGCATTTATATTTACAACACAAGAGAATCGTTTGTGTTATTTTGTTGGTGGTCAAGTATTCACATTGGCTTTATTGGATCGTCAAATGTATTTACTAGGTTATTTAGCAAAAGAAAATCGATTATTTTTAGGTGATAGAGATCTACAGGTATGGTTTTAATGGGATGAAAGATATTTTTACAATTGTGTTTTTCTCGCTGTATACATACTCAGTATAGGGGGGTGTAAGCTAGCTTATTATTATTCATCATGCCCTTAGAATATCAATCTATTTCCTGACCAATAATGTTCATCCATCCTTTAGGAAATTTTTTGAAGGTCGTCAAACGGCCTTCTTATTTCGTCACTATATCAGATATACATTATCATCTTAGTTGAATTGATTTGCTGGGATTGCTTGATTGCTATTATGGTTGTTGCGGTCTCACATGCGTGCATACTTCTCATCCAATCTTCAATAGTAAATGTTGATTCATTGTTGACTGCTGTAGGAGAGTAGGCAATCAAACTAAGACATGACATCCGTCCACGAAATTATTGATTGTATTGATAAACGTAGACCATTACATGGTTGGAATATGTTATAACAAGAAGAGTATTGAGAAGGTTGGAACTTTTTTTTATCTATTTTCGGACTGTTATTACTTATTTAATTCAATGTGCAGATATATTCACTCTTCATCTTAATATATTCTTTGAGTTCAAAAACCCCCTCATACATATCATTTCATTCAGTTTTCTCGTAACATTCTCAATGCTTCGTCTTTCTTATTACAGGTGTTACTACAATTATTTTGATTTCTTTACTAACCTTCATCGTACTAATGTTAATATAAGGACTTGTGCTGGGTTGTACAATGATTGTGGCTAACTGAAAATGTAAAACAATGATGCGAAAATCGAAGATGTGCTCACTAGCGACTAGCATCGTTAGGGAATTCTTGGAGTTCTAGTGAAATGTGACCAGTGGGGTTCAACGCTGTCGGGTGTGGGCAGTAACTACTAAAGACAATAATACTTGAGGCTGCGCAAAATCTTTAGATTGATTAGAGTTAGACATTATAGCTGTTGGGTGCTAGCTCAGTGGTCCAGAGTTTAAGCGTTCGTGCGCAAGACCGTAGGTCCCAGGTTCGAATCCTACGAGTGGCAGGAGTCGTGGATGTGCACTATTTATGAGACGAAACGGCCATTCAGTGCTCCCAGGTTTATAATGTTGATCTAATAATGATTCATTCATGATTTAAATGTAGAACAACGAACTCCATATCATGCAAAAAACCAAATAAATAAGCCGACATTGTTTTTTTCCATTTGATCGACAATTATTTTTTTTCGAAACACGTCGAATACTAGTCAAGTATAAATCTAATTGACATTTATAATGTAGTGTGTACTAATATATCGCGCCCATATGGCTTCGGTCACATTGACTAACCTTATTCTTCTCGAGTTACTAATCACTTCTTTCTACTTTGTCAACTATTGGCTTATAACTTTAGTTGTTTTTCTTTCAGTGCATGTTGCGCATTGCCTACTTCGCTTATCACATATTTAGCTTATTCTTGTCTGACTGTATAATCTACATTCAGTTGACCCACTCACCTTTCCTACTATAGTTCGCTTCGCATCCCCATTGTCTATCTGTTCACACAAATGTATGAAATCAATTCATCCAGAAAAAACCATACTATGTTCCTTTTTACCGCCGTAGCATAAACTGATTTTGATCTAAAACTAACATACAAAAATTAAAAGGAAGATTTATGTCATCAGCATATCCAATGGTTCGTTTGAAATTCAAGTTAGATTCCAATTTTACCAAATTTAGTTTTTCTTATAAATTACTTGTTTTTCACCTGTATGTTTATCGTCTCATCTTTTCCTTTTTTTTTCTCTTTGATAAACTCAATCATAGATTGTTAGTTATACTTTATTACTCAGTGTATTAGAATATGAAACAGCAGTGTTACGTGGTGATTTTACAACAGCTGATGCTATTCTTCCAAATATATCCAAAGATCAATATACAAAAATTGCTCAATTCTTAGAGAAACAAGGTTATCGTAAACAAGCTATGCGTGTTACTACAGATATTGATCATAAATTTGAACTAGCTTTACAATTAGGCGATTTTGAATTATGTCAACAAATTGCATTGGATAGCGCTGGTGGTGATGAGAAAACAAATGAAACGAAATGGAAACAAGTAAGTGAATTCGTCTGAAATGGTTTAATGCTTCTTTCTAATATATATATATATATATATATATATATATATATATATATATATATATATATATATATTCGTTAGTATAGGATTGTTTAGAAATTGTTGTGTAGTTTCATTGAAATCATAACCCGAATAAATATTGTTAATTGATTGGAAGTTAACACTTCGGGATGCTAGCTGAATATGATTAAGAGATTAAGCGTTCATTCGTGCAAATATCAAAGGTCCTGTTTTGTGGGGTTGTGGATGCACACTGCTGATAAGTAGTAGGCCTAACATCAGTTGGTTTATTATGATTTCAATGGAACTCAGCAATCTCCACAACCTTTTACTGTCAAATCACTTGGCTGAATAACTATTGGAAACTAGGGAATAAGTAAAGGATTCTTTTGTCGTAGTATGAAACTCTTCCACGGTACGCATTCATAACCAATTCAACAGGTATTTTTTCGTAATACCTATGAGAATGCTGAAATCGAAATGTGTGGTTTTTTTTAAAGCGCATACCTTATCGGAAGGTAATGTTTGTAAACACAACAAGTCTTATTTATGACTCTTACTACTACCAATCTCTGCTTGTTTGATTTTCTGGAGATGTAATCATCAGACAGACAGATACAACGCAGAACTTCGTACGTACATACATCAGTCCAGGTTGCCATACCACATCAGCACAGAGACGCAACTGTTAGTTCAAATTCAAGAGTGATAGCGATAGTAGAAGTATTAGCATTAATGGAGAAGATTAGGGAACGTACATATGGTTCGAGAAGTATAATTCAGTGAGATAAATTTAGAAGGAGAAAGATGTGATCATCACGTAAAGTTGGCTGATTAAATTGAGCTTTTTGTGTGCTGTTGGTAGAATGATCTCTTACTTAGACTTAAAATGAGCAAACATTTGATAACTGTTTGTATAGCGTTTATTCAAGAAGGAGGTCATGGCAAAGGGTAATAAAAGCATAAACAGTTCACCTATCAATCAACTAACTCATTTATTTGTATGCAATTGCCCTCAGCATTGAAATCTGGTCAATTGTTGCTTATCTGAACTCAATAGCTTAGTGGATAACAAATTAGGAGATTGTTTTCAAGTGGGAAGTACTGATCTCAAAATGTAACTATTCTTAACACTGAAATGCAAGTACATCCATCTCCCAAGCATGTGTGTCCTGGATTTCACCGCTAACTAAAACTTATCTTCTGTATAAAAGTCTTATGATAAAAGTAGCCTGTATCTAAGCATTTCTTACAAGGTGTGTGTACATCAGGTAACTAAGACTGATTAGTTGTTCTGAAAATCAACAAAGGGGTAATTCGTAAGTTTACTAGCAATATTTTCAAATTATGTAAAAAAATATATCATAAATATTCATATCAAACAAAGGTCAATGAAATGTTCTGAGTTCAGTAGATAGTGCTTGCCATGTGGCTTATAAGTAGTATGCAGCATATTAAAATTTATTCATATTGAGACTCTACATTTAATCTAGAATTACTCATTACATACTTTTTCATAAGAGTACCAACAATAATACTCATTAATCTGTTTGTTCTATTATCCTGTTTCACAAATAAAACCCACCACTTCTATACACACACACACAAATGTGTATTCAGTTAGCTGAAGCTGCTTGTAAAGTTTGTAAATTTAAATATGCTGAAGAATATTTATCACGTACCGATGATTATGCTAGTTTAATGTTACTAGCAACAAGTTCAGGCAATCGAAAACTACTTGAATGGATTGGTAAAGAGGCTGCGACCAAAGGCAATGATAATATTGCATTTCTGGCACGTTTTCTTGTTACCGATTTAGAAGGTTGTCTTGAAGTGAGTTTTGTGTGATTTGATGTTTTCATAATTTTATGTTTTGTTGTGTGTGTGTGGGGGGGGGGGTGAGAGTAGCGTTTCTTCACATTCTTCCAAGACCTTCAACCAACCGTACCGCTACTGCCTTGATTTTTGATGATTGATCTTCCTCCGCATTGTGACATTCTTATCAAGTTATATTGATTGAGACGTTAAAGCTCAATTTGAACGATATCCAACTGTACAAATATCATCCGAATAGTCTTTATTAACTAAGGTGGTGGGAACGTGTTACTCATAAGCCTAACTACTGCCTACCTCGACAGACAATCTTTTTTGATCTAAGAATAGTTTGGAAGAAAGCTAGTGGTCACCAAACCAAAACATGGCATCAGTCCATGAAGACACTAACTGTTGAACTGAGGTATATAGGTAGATTGTGTACTACTTGATCTGGGTCTGCGTGTATATCATAACCAGTGGCTTGAATGGAATAGCTTACAATTGTCCATAATGGCGCAACTCAATCATTCTTTGTCTTCCTGTAAAGTTTAAGCTTCTGAATTTCTCATAATCTTTTCCCATTAGTGTTTATCTTGGATGGTTAATATTTTTTTCTACCATTGATACTGTTACTATCTCTACTAATCTGAGATTTATGGTACATATGTATAGTTAAAACATGAATTAGTATCATGTATCATGTTTCAAAATGCCTGGTACGACCTCTTCAAATGCTATTATTATACGGCCACACGAATATGTAGTCAGTACCAGTGAAGTCCTACTCACTACCTCTTCGCAGTGATGTGTTGTTTACGAAATCGAGGGCGAAAAGCGAATATCCGGTCAGTGCTTAAACCGGGTTGGTGAGTTTGGAGAATCCATCTAGGTGATTTGAAAAATCCTGATTCCGAACCAGTGCTGCACATGAGCTCTAGGATTCCAAGGAAATCAATAGCTTATAAACCTATGATTGGTCACTGACTACCGTGTTGCTCCTTTGCCTTGTAGATTAGGCTTTTGGATCATAGACTTGGGGTGTAGCCTCCTAAGAAAACCACGTGGTTCAGTTTTTGCACCTGAACAGCATTTCACCCTATTCATAAATTCATTGATTTGTGTGATGCATACATATTTATTTGCCCGATTTTACCGATACTTGAATGCTGAAATAAAATAAACTACAAGATACTCGGATTCAAGCTGATTTGTAGTTCAGATTTCCTCTGTTAGTTACACTGCGTATTATTAGAATAATTATTATCCTATAAGTAATGGGTTAATGGTAATGAGTGATTGACTTTTGAATGATAAAAGTTTACAGGTTTGCATCTCGTTTCGCCCATTTCGATATGGTTAGCCAGGCAATTTCTCTCTCTCTCACATACAATTAAAAATGTTGGTGAAAGTTGGTCCATACATCATGACATGCCCACATTGATGATTGTGTTGGATTGATTATTTTTCTAATTCAATCTAACTTAATTTAATTTTGTGCCTTTTCTTACTGTTTATTCTTTTCCCTATTGTTTATGGTAACACTTTTGTTTAGTTGTTGACAAATGCTAAACGATTCCCTGAAGCAGCATTTTTCGCTCGTACATACCTGCCAAGTTGTATGCCAGAAATAGTAGAACAATGGCGTGATTGGTTAGATAAATCAAATAAGGCCAGTGCAAAAATTGCAAATTCATTAGCTAATCCAAAAGATTATCCAAATTTATTTCCTGATCTCGAGGTACGTGTCAATTGGTTCCTATATGTATATATATTTTTCAATTAGAGTTATGGACATTAGTGATTTTACATATTTGAAATCATCAATCAATCCTTGTTAGACCACCATTAGAAATCTGGAAGCAATGGACGGCTGATGAGTCCCATACCAGGACGAAGCTTGATTCTTCGTTTTTAATATGTGCAACATTACTTACTTGCTAAATTAATTGCTCCTATTACCCCTAATGGAGCATGGGCTGGTGATCAGCATTCTCAAACCACCTCTGTATTGGGCCTTCCTTTCCAGTTCTAGCCAATTCCTACATACCTACATACGCCTGCACGCAAACACGTCAACTTGGTATACTTGAACTATTACGAGTTTACCTAGTCGGAAACGAGAGCGAGGATCCGGTGACCCCCATATGTAGTTAAAAATAAGAAGACGTGATATGAAGTAGAACATGTGTTCTACAAGCATCCAGAAAGTACGAGGTCCGAATCCAGAAGAGAATCAGGATCCCGGACTAGGGACCCGGGACCGAGCCCTGGTCCTGGTCGTGGTCAGTAAACGTTACAGATAATGCGTATTTATACATTTTGGTCGAATAGAAAACAGCATCGAATTCTGTGGCATTGACAGTTAAGACGACCAATAGGAAGTAACATTTGAAGTGACATTGATAGTCAGGACAACCAATAAGAATCAACATTGAAGTATCTGACTTTGACAGTTATAACGAAATCGACCAATAGGATTTGACCAATAATTCTCTTAGGATATTGGATGAATATCCTAACAATATATACATAAAGCATTATAGAAAACAAAACGAAGTCTTGAGCAGAATCTATAATCTAGCATGAATTCATTTTAAGCAATGATGCACATTAGCTAACACTGGAATCCAGGATGTGAATTTCATCTGATTTTTTCGGCCTGGTCTGCGAACAATCATTCCTGTATCTCAGAGTCTCCATGTTCACTGTGCCGCTTAAATTGCTACCAAAATTTGAATGTATAAATTCATTCTATTTTCTGGTGAAATTCTCATTAGCTGCTTAAAACAACTAAAAAAAGAAATAATTTTACAATCAAAATTCAATTCAAAAGGATCTGTATATATCATTATGTGTTACAGTAAATTATTGAAATGAAAGACATACAAACGAATATTTTTAATTCCATATAATCTTAATCATCAGTTAATTAATCAACAGCAATGTAGAACTTCGTACGTACATCATACATCATTACAAGTTGCTATATCATATTAGCGCAGAGATGTAATTGTCAATTCAAGTCCCATAGTAGTAGTAGTAGAGGTAGTAAAGGTTTTAGAAGTAATCGGAAATTTTAGAGTTCGTAGACATTATTATTCAAGAAGTAGAATCTAGTGAAATAGACTTAAAAGGATAAAGATAAAGTGATGAGGAATTAAAAAGTTTTAACCCATGTCATTCAGGGTCTCTAACCATCGATTATTATCATCTCGCGGGCCCCAATTCAATATCATCTACGAGAAAAGATTCTGCATCAAATATATAGTAGTAGTGGCCTGGTGACTGACGAAATCTCAGCACGGATACAGAAGGCTCGATTGGCTTTTGCCAACCTGCGTCACTTATGGCGTAGGCGAGATATCCGTTTGCTGACTAAAGGACGAGTGTACTGTGCAGTAGTTCGCTCCGTCTTACTTTATGGCTGTGAAACATGGCCAGTGAGAGTAGAAGATATTCGTAGGTTACTGGTTTTCGATCATAGGTGCATTGCTCGTATATCGTGGGACACCCGAGTGAGCAACGCTGTTATTAGGAATCGGGTGCTAGGTAGGAATGGCAGATCAATAGACGCAGTAGTGAAACTTCATCAGTTGAGGTGGTTGGGACATGTGTTGCGTATGCCTAACCACCGACTGCCTCGTCGAGCTTTGTTTTGTAGTGTAGGAATAGGTTGGAAGAAAGTTAGGGGCGGCCAAACCAAAACGTGGCAGAAATCCATGAAGTCATTGACGAGTGGACTTAGCCATGTCGGTAATTGTCGACTACCTGGTTGGGGTGCGCGAGATGATAATAATCGATGGTTAGAGACCTTGAATGACATGGCTCAAAATCGTTCGCAATGGCGCCGGTGTATTTATTCTCTGTGTTCTCTCAAATCCTAATCTTCTGGGTTCTTCAACACCTCTAGTTTCGACTCTCTAAACTTTTCTCATTTAATCATACCTCTTGAATAATATCTTCTAATCCTAACCTCTCCGATTACTCCTAATACCTTTACTATCTCTTCTACTATTGGATTTGAATTGACAATTCCATCTCTGTGCTGATGTGGTATGGCGACATGAACTGATGTACTTACGTACGAAGTTCTACGTTGCATCTGACTGACTGATCTGATAGAGTAGTAGTATTAGTAGTAACAAAATTATAATTAACTGACTTATTACATAATGAAATATTTAAATAATCGATGAATAACAATTAAGAATATATTTTGATAGAACAGTGTGAAAAATATTGTGATATATTTGCGCTGTGCACATTTCGAACAATCTAATCACACACATATATACACTTGTCAAGGCATTTTATGTGATGATTAATTAATAAAAGGTCAATCAAATAAAAGTTCAAATAGAGAAGAAATAAGGTGATAATTTTCAATGTAGGAAAAAGAAAATGAACGTTCGATAGAAAAGAATAAGCAAAGCTAGGAAATTTTCACATTACTCTAGGCCATAAAACGGCTTCAAGATTATCAGGGTAAATATTCAAGGTTGTTTTAAATTAATAATCACATTAAATTAAAGATTAGTCGATAAACTTATTTATTTGGAACAAGTAGTACAAATAAATTTTTAAAAAATGTAAAATTATATTGTAGTGAATAAGAACACAGGTGGGGCAACCGGATTGTATTTAACGAAAATTACAGAGTTACAGAGTAAAATCGGAAAACCATATCGTAAATTGTTCATTTGCAAAATATCAGTTCATCCTATCGAACTGGACTGTTCCTGTTGCAAAACATCAATCCATTGTCACTATTCATGCGTTTCATACAAATTCCATTGTTTTCTAACTCTTCCTTTCTTGATCTTCCCCCATATTATGCTGCCAGACATCACGTTGTCACTCACGTCATATACTACTTATAAGTAGCTCACACCACAGTATCACATATTCTGAATTCTACTTGTAAACTACTATCCAATTCTGTTTCTGCATTGTATATCTTATCTCTCAGTTTCAATGATTCTCATGATAGAGTCATGGGGATTGTTATTTTACATTTGAAATCAAGAATATCGATCATTGTTAGAAGCCGTGACTAGTGGAGTTCAACCCTATCCGGGTGTAGGCAGTTATGTAGTGAGGTCGCTCAATACTGTGGATCGATCGAATTTATCATGAATATCCAATACATCCAGGTTTATAATGGTGGTCCAAGAATGATTGATTTCTGCGCCTTAATGATCCTATTGTACTATTATTGATTATTGATTATTCATTTTAGGAGGCGTTATCCACAGAAAAATGGTTAAAAGCAGACAGGAAAGCACGGCTAAATTTACCTGCTTCCATTTATCCAACTCAACAATTACCAGCTGATCGTGATCTTCACAGTGAAATGCAACATAAACCTATCCCTCTGGAATCATTGTCATTGGATAAAATGCCATTCGATGCTAATAATCCTATTCCAACATCCATCATCAATAATAATGATAAGAGCAATAATGTATCAATTATTGAAGAACAAAAACACAAAGAAATTATCCCACCTGTTGTTGTCGATCCAATAACAACACTACAATCGAAGAATAACCGTCAAAATGATTCCGACGATAGTGGTGAATCAGACTCGGTCAAATTAATCGGTGATGAAGAAGAGGATGAGGAGGTGGAAGAGGAGGAGGAAAGAGAACAAGAAGAAGAAGAAGAAGAGGAGGAGTTAGATGAAGATGTTGATGACGCTGAAGAGAAGAATAACGACGACGATCAAGTGGATCTGGGCGAGGAGAATGTTGATTCTTGGTACGATGAAGATGACGACGACGACGGCGATGATGTTAGTGATGAAAATGCTGTTGACAAAAAGTCCAATAGTCGTGTAAGTAATAACGCGTTGATGAAAACCACAATGTCTGAAAAACAAAAATAATTTGAATTTTTTTTTCTCTCTCCAAATATTTGTGATCATTGGTATTATTTACTTTGAAATGATTTACTTTTAAACTATTTTTTGACTTTTTGTGCTAGTTTTGTTTGCGTGTGTGTATGTTGACTTGTTCATTATTTGTGTAGGTGTGTAGGATGGTCTAACAATTCTTTTATATAAATAAATATACGTGTATGTATGCAATTTATCTGTTTTGATATTATATTAATTACATAAAAATAAACAATGATTGCGTTATAGATTGAATCAATTGTAATTCGACATATACATTTAGTGAATAACGTTTTGGGTAAACTAGAGCTTTAAATGTGTTTGCTTGCAATAAATAGTAAAATGGTTCTTAGAGTTATGAATAGGCACTTTTGACAAGTTCCATACTACAATGAAACATTTATCTAGTGATTTTGTAATCTTACCTAATGATTATCTAGCCTAAGATTGTTAATTCATGATGTAAACTATGAACAAAAAGTTATCAATTGACTGTGTTATATAATTTAAGATAATAGTGCTTTTAACATTTCGGAGAAATATATACCTGCATATATGTTGTCCGGACCGTTGCTGCTGCACTGACGTATTGATCCGATTTGCCTATCGTGATGATCCAACTGAGCTATATTGGCTGGAACATATGTTCCTGTAGGTTCTACCACACCAGGCAGGTCGATTGGAGAACGGTGAGACTAAAAGCATCAACTCAAGGTCTGAGGGCGACGTCGTACTGTTGAATGTAGAGAGGTGTGACAGCAGTAGGTGTTTTCCTCGGCCAACCAGCATCTGCAGCCATATTGCCTCCTCACAACGTAAGGAGGGGCCTGGAAAGGGTCGACCCTAAAACATCGCACCTCCAACTCCACTTGAAGAGGGAATCTAACACTTCGAGACCTAATAAAATGGCCGTGCGTGATTATCTTGAAGTAGTTGTCCCTTGGTCACCTCCCCACGTCTCTAAGACGGATTTTGTTTTCAATTTCCTTAAGAAGCACCCTTCCAGGGTGTTGACAACCGGGTAGTGACATCCATCAGCGTCCCGGAACCCGTGTGCAGCATTCGTTTGAAACCAGGGTTTTCTCACAACCTTAGGTATATCCTTCCTATTGGTGTATGGACGTGAACATACTCGACTAGGAGTTGATCATTTGTTAACAATTAATCCAAGCTTGAGGATTTTCGCTCCTTAATCCATCTAGTGGCGCTTCATGCATGCTCAGTCGACGCAGAGCTCCTAATGACTGTGCCAAGTCGTCTTTGGAACCAACCAGTGGGAGTTCTACCCTGTTTGCTGAGATTCAAAAATGGGGTGTTGAAGTCTCCAGCTAAGAATATTTGATCAAACCCAAGTAGTGGCAGTTGTAGTATTGCCTCATTCAGTTTATCTTGCTAGTCTTAGTACCTGAGGGGGCCCGATAAGTCCCTCCAATCAAGCATTTCGTGCCGTTTGTGTGGAAAAAACACCAACAGGATTTTGTCGCCTCAGTTAGTTAGGTACTGAGTAGTCTCTCGGCTTTCAAATGGCTGTTAATATATATAACCGCCCCGCCTCCTGTCTGGAGTACCTTATCTCATCGGAAGTGTCATGCCTTGCAAGCTCACTTCGTCGTCTGCAATATTGGGGAAAAGCCATGCTTTAGTTAGGATTACGATCTTCAGATCCATCTAAGAGCCTAATACCTGATTTCTAGCACCTTGCCCCTTAGTCTTATTACGTTGCGAGTTGTAGTGTTTCCGTTTCCCTTTTTTTACTCACCCACTGTTCCGTATTGTTAACATATACTACGGGGTTTACAACAACCGGCAGTTTTGTAGGTCTGTTGGTTTGGGTTATGGCTACTTTTGTTGGCTATTTCATTGGTTGAGAGGGCGCAGTTGATCGAGATAGCTAGACCTAGCGCACAGTGGGTCTGACTTCGAATGATTCCGTTTGATCGTATTTGTACTCCGATTGTCAACCAGCGAATAAAGACAACCTTTATATCTTCAGGAATGATTAAACATTCCAACCTGGTTTTCTGTAAATGGTGGGAGGTGAAGAAGGCCACATCAATTAAATGAAGAATAATGAGGCAAATACTAATCGTTTGTATGGATCAAACAGAATAATAGAAACCTTGTGGTTAAATTATTTAGGAGTTACACAATAAGTTTACACATAAAACTAATCGGTTTTCAATCTCCATTCTGATACATCGTCACATGTTTCACATTATTAAAATGCATTGGATCACTGTATTATGAGAGTATGTTTACTAATGCACTCAATCTTAAGAGTGTATGTCTTGAATAACTTACTTTGTTTATAAAAACATCACATGTTGGTGCGTTACTGAGACTGAATGGCCTAATTGCAGGATTTTTAATGTCTCATTAGATATTCTTATTCCAGAAATGCAACAACCAATACAACATAATATATCACACCAAGTGAAAAATTCTATGTCAATCAAGTAGGATACCATTTCACCTGCAATAGGGGTGTTAAAATTTCAAAAAGACAATGTTTAGCTTTGAAATTAAGCCATCTAGTTCAGGAGGCGTAATACTGATAAAACATGGTTATTATGATATTCCAAAAAGGGTATGGTTTCATATATGTGTTAAGTGATTTTGAAAATCATCGTTGATATCCTTGATAGTTGGAAACATGGAGCGGGACTCATGAATGCACGCTGCCACTAATGAGTCCCATATTAGGACGAAACGATCTTTCAGGTTTCTTGCTGAAGGTGGTCTAACAATGATCGATTCACGATTGTAATGAAAAACAACAACCTCCATAAATCTATAATGGAATATCCTTGATAGCCGCCAGTTTACTTAATTCGTTTTAGAAAAATCGTTACATAAATTAGGATTTAACAGTGTTTGTACTGCTACGCTCCCTTCCTCATGATATAGCATAAATTTACATATTTGTAACTATCTAAAAGTTTGTTCATGTCAGATATATTTGTAGGTTATCAATTATCAGTGTACTATCGTATGGAATGAGTAATGTTGAGGTTAGACATAGGGTCTATAGGCAATGATGATGCACCTGTTCTACATTTTCATCGACTGAGATGGATCGGATATGTATTATGTATGACCCGTCAACATCTGAGGGAAAGCACGGGATACAGTGAACAACTCGGATACAGTTGGACGATTTGGCTCTTAGATAATCTGCCACTTCTGTCACACACGCAACAACCGAAGACGACTAGTGTAGCAGCAATAGGTCTTAACATACACAAAGTGAAAAGCAAGATTTTTCTATGAAACATAACATGCCCCAACCAAATCACACTTGACGGATAGGCTTTAGAAGTTGTGGAAACCTGCACATATATGGGCCGCATTATTGATGAACCAGGTGGATCTGATGCAGACGTGAAGACGTCGACCGGCAAAGTGAGGGTAGCATTTCTTCAGTCGAAGAACATCCGGAAGTTAAAATACCTATCAACCAACATCGGAGTCAGAATCTCCAATAGAAAATGTCAAGACAGTCCTGCTGTATGAGGTGGAAGCTTGAAGAATTACGAAAGTCATCATCCAAGAGATACAGGTGTTTGTTAACAATTGTCTATGCAAAACAATTCGGATTCTTTAGCCAGACACTATCAGTAACGACCTGCTGTTAGAGAGAACTAACCAGATTCCAGCGTCGCGACGCAAGCCATTTTAATCCTCAAGGTAAAAGGAGAAGAACAGACATGAAAAGAATGAACAGTAATTAGGTAGAACTGGAAAAGAAGACCCTGGACTGAATAGGTTGGAGATTGTTATCCGGGGGCATATGCCAAGAGATGTAAGTAAGTACGAGTAAGCAATGCCTACCTCGATGAGAATTGATGAAAAAGAATACTTAAGAATGACTTAAATCATTGACTGTTTTAGTGAGTTACTATTAGTAGATATAATCTGCTTGATTGCGTAAAAAATGGTTGCATGTAAGGCGTTAGGGAACTGACATCAGTCGGTTGTTATATGGATGTGGAAGTTTCGCTCGAAGATTCCCCCGATGATCAGTTTGCCGATAAATTTATAATCTCGCCAATATATTATTATACTTGAAAAGAATTATTAAATAGAATGAATTTATTTCAACCAAAAAATAAATGTTTACATACATACGTGTACATACATAACAAACCCAGAAATGATGTATAAATTAATTTTCAAATATCTCTATGTCACAAGAACAACAATACAAAAGGAAAATGTTTTTACCAAACTACACCTTGAGCATAATAGTAATAGATTAAAATAACAGTAAAGGCGACCGACACATTACACACTTGGCAATTAATTTGAGGAGAAGAGAAAGAAGGAGCACAAAACAAAGTGATTGATATCTGAAATCCGAGTGGAAAATAAAAATAAAAAGTTGCTATTATGTCATTAAATTTGTTTTTTTTAAAAAAAAACAGGCGTAAAATTAGGTCAGTTTTCTTAGTAGATTAATTAATGTATGTATGGTACAACAAAAACATTCAGGTGTACAAGCCAAAATATACACACACACACACACACACGCGGATCTTGATCATCTATCTGTTTGATGAGGAGTTGCGTTCAATGAGAAACAGTAGTGGTAGTGTTGTTTGGTGTGGTGTGGTGCTGAAAAATCAAAGTTAACCAGTTTTACACCGAAAAACACCCACCATGTAATTTATTTTTTGTCAGGCAAAAAGAGGTAGGTAGTCAAATAAAATGAATACATATTTATTTATAAAGTAAAGAAATTAGCCCCGGTGGTTACCCAAACCACAAAACAAATTCAGATGAAAAAAAGGGGATAAACAAATAAGCAAAGAGATAACAAGGCATTTTCACGTAGTTGATAATCACAGTTACAAGTGAATCCATATGTATGTGTGCGTATGTATGTAGATGTGTCACGGACATTGAATACAGTCCACCTCCTTCCAACCACACAGCAAAATTATGCGGAAATCATTGCTGCTGACTCTGATGTATTCTCTTTCTCTGTATGTGTGTAATTGTTTGTTGAAGAGAAAAATGACACTGTTAATATTATGACATGGATTAATTAAATGTCAATATTTTCGCCATGATGATTGGGGCAATAAGGTTTACACAATGAATGAATCTATTATTTTTATCACTGGGGAATGATGAATGATGTGAAACGTTAAAAAGCTTCTGTTGTATTTGTTATCGATTATTTAAATAAACTATAAAGCTGTTTTTTCATTGTATACCATTTGTGTAATATTGAAAACTATCATATAATTTTGTTGTCATTGAATTCAATGAATTATGTACCATTTGATCAATGAATTGTTTCAATTGTTCTTCAGTACGTGATAATTGAAAACGTTGACGTAAATCATTGATAGTTCGATTATTATTATTATTATTATTACTATTATTGCCACGAGCAAAACATGGTAGTTGAGGACAAGTAGCATAAGCGATTTCAACTAGGACACAAATCTATTGACAGAAAAAAGTAAAGTAAACCAAAAAAACACATACACATTTAATTGGTGGTGGTATTGGGTGGTAGTGAATCTGTTTTTATGAATTGATTAGAACTGATAATTGATTGATCAATCCTATTTGGTCAGTAGCCAGTCACTTACAACGTAGAAACTCATAGGTACGTCATACATCGGTTCCAATTGCTATGCCACAATTAACACAGGCAGATAGAATTGTCAAGTCAAACAAAATAGCAAGCAGTAGGAGTAACAGTTTGAGAAGTAATGGAGAAGATAAGCAATGGGAGACATGATTCGAGAAGTAAAATCCAATGGAATCAATTTAGAAAAAAAAAGAAAACAGGTCATGAGGGATTCAGAAGATTACAATTTGATAGAAGGCAATGTGAATGGATGCATCTGCGCCATTGCAAACGATTTTGAGCTATGTTATTCAGGGTCTCTAACCATCTATGACTATGCACACAACACTATACACAGGGAATCGACTTCAACAATTTCGGTCTATCTATCGTACGAACACTTAAATCTACAGATCACTGAACCGTAATCTAATCATGTGCAAGTCTAGTTTCAATCAATCCACGATATTACATTGCAAATCAATGATCTACAGATTAAGTGTTCGTGTGAAATTTTACAACTTTGACGGCATAAATACCCTCATATTATGTTGTTCGTAAGGTCATTCAATTAATAAAGGTCACAAATGATTCAAGAAAAAGGTATACAGTTGTAATCAGTATAATAGTACAATAAGTCGTGCAAACTAAGAGATATTTCATTCTGACAATAATATTGTGACTTGAATATGTAATATATGAGTGGTGTGGTCAATGTCATCATGATCAAAAATCATAAATTCATATGAACTGGGAAAGATGAATACGTAGAGAGTAGGAAAGATATGAACAAAAAGGGGTAATGGGAAGCGGTGGGATAAAAGGTTTATAATATCCAGTAGTGACACTGGCATGCATCAAGGTATTCGATTACTAACTAAATAAGATTTTGAGCTATGTCATTCACAGTCTCTAACCATCGATGACTATTGTCTCGCAGACCCCACCCAACCAGGAGGTTTACACTTATCAACAAGCCTCAGTTGAGTTGTCAGTGGATTCATGGATTTGGGCCATGTTTTGTTTCAGTCGGCATACGTCCCAACCACCTTAACTGATAAAGTTTTACTATTTCACCTTGAACCTATTTCCTAGCAACAGCATTGCTTACTCGATGGTCCCAGGATATACTAGCAGTGCTTAGAAGACACCTATGATCGAATACTAATAACGTATGAATATCCTCGCTTCTAGAGATGAATGTAAGGTGTTAGTCATACAAAGCCTTTAGGGTGTTACTAAACGTTTCAAGTACATTTCTCTTCAATAGTCAATCCTAAATTATAGTCCTCCCGAAAGAATCGGAAGCGTTGTTATCAAGAAACATAACCATTGTTTGTTTGCAATAAGTATGGAAGTATACTAACAACATATCAGAGGGTGAAGATACAATGAATACATCCATAAGCAAGACAAATATTAATCCGCTTTTCATAAATCAATCCGTTCATGGGTTCTATACAATCAGTGAAGTATGATAGAAGCCTGTGGTTTGAATCCAGGATGCGTATTTCGTCTTCTACGTGAATTGTTAGCTAAGTGAATCTGCATTTCATGGTTGACGTTCCATACCGGACTCGAATTAAGTACCGGGATAATACAATCTATTTCAATCTGAATCAATACTCACTCACAGTTGTTGCACAATTGAGTGATTATATGGACTTAGTAGCTAAATGAATATAGCGATAACATTTGAAGGGATACAGATACATTTAGCTGATGAGTTCTAAATATGATGAACTATGCATCTTGAATTCTCCTGTTAACCTAGGTTGAGTAAATATCGACATATCACATGTTAAGTCTAAATAAATACCTACTGTTACTTATCACCATGAGCTAGGGGCGGCCAAAGCAAAACACGACACAAGTCCTTGGAGTCACTGACAACTGGATTGAGTCATGTTGGTAAGTGTCGACTACCTGATTGGGGTCCGTGAGACGATAATGACCGATGATTAGAGACCTTGAATGACATGGCTTAAAATCGTTTGCAATGGCGCTGGTGCATCCACCCCTTGAGTTTCCCCAAATGATAATCTTCTGAATTCCTCGTCACCTTTATCTTTCTCTGTCGAAAAATCTGTTTCACTGAATTATACTTCTTGAATAATTTCTTCGAACTCTAATCTTCTCGATTACCGCAAATACTTCTCCTATCTCTACCACTATGGGATCTGAACTAACAACTGCGTCTCTGTGTTAATGTGGTATGTCAACCTGAACTGATGTACGTACCTACGTACGAAGTTCTGCGTTGTAGCTGACTGACTGACTATCATCACTGCCTTTACCATCTCAGGATTAAACTGTAGGTAGGAAATTATAAACGAAACATTACCCTACTTGCTGCAGGTGTATACATACTTGTTTGAATCAGACGAAAGATTGTACATATCCCTATAATTCGTATACGTTATAATCTTCTCATTTGAATAATGGATTCTGGTGAACAATAACAAGTCTACAACAAGACTGAACTGAACACATGAATCCATTTGTTACTTTTTGTCAGCTGGTTACAATTTGTAATATTAAAAAAAAAAATTCTTATTACAAATTGGATTTAAAAGTACTTACATCAAACAGTTTAATTGGAAGCCGCCGCTATGATCGATCACTTAACAGTATAGTATAGTATAAGTAAGGGTGTGTGGTTGATTTTAGTAGACTGGATGTGAATACATGCCTTATACCAAAGAACATTCTACTACATTGATAATAACATAAGTCAAAAGAGGTACAAAACAAGTGGTTACGTGATGAATAAATGCTGATAATAATCAAGAATGAAATGAGTAAAGCTCAGTTAGTTGAGATAAGATTACTCTAATCTAAGAAAACGAGATGATGTAATTGACTGGGAGAAAGAATTGGATACAATGTGAAGATGTGTGTAATGAAGCAATATTTATCATCAAGACAAAGAAAGATAAACTAGAAACCATCTGTTTCTGAACACATACATCAAGTTTCAGATGTTTGATAACAACGGCTTGAACAAAATAAAAAAACACCAGACAACTGAAACATGGCTACTTATGAATCATCTCGAAGTGGTGCAAGCTATCCATCCACCTGTTATATTCTGTATGCAAGAGATATTTATTGATCACATTATTATTTAAAGTAAATGTTTGATACGAAGCAGTTTTTTATAACATGTTCATAAAGGAACCTAAGATCTGATTTCTTTTGTGTAGCAGCTAGCTATATTGGCAGATATACATGTAAATTTATAAGACGAACTCGGTAGTAGTTAGTAGTAGTAAGTTGAATGAGTTGCTAATCAGCTACACATTGTCTCACTATTCATCAACATGTATCTTCTATACAGACAGTATTAACCATTCGATTGTCGGGTAAGTTTCAGTTATTGAGATGTTAGGGCTTCCTAGTTGATTAAATTAAGCTTGCAACATCATCATCATCATTAATTAGCTTTGCAAGTGAATTGAAACTTGTAAATATTGATATTTCTTGTTGTTACCTATTTATATATAGTCAGTCACATTCGATTCGTTCTCGTTCGATTTACGTCATCATCATCATCATCATCATAACAGCTTCAAAACTACACTATTTAAATATAGTGCATATTATTATGCATTTTGTTTTGAAATATTTATTACAGTTTATTGTAATCAGCTGACTACTCTCTCTTACACTCTTTCCGAAAAAAATTAATAATAATAATAATAATAATAATAATAATAATAATAAACGAATCAATCAATCAATCATCCAACGAACTAACTAACCTGTTCCATATGTTTACGTGCAGCTAACAGGCCACGTAATAAAAGAAATTTAAAATATTCAAATAAATCACTATTTAAACCACCAATTACATCAATTTGTTCTAATGTCAATTTAAATGGACTTGTTTCAAAGCCTAAATTCTTGCCCGGTGATGAAGATAATATAAAACCATAATCAATATGAATAATATGACCTTGATTATCTAATAGTATATTACCATTATGTCTGAGAAAAAAAGAGAAGAAAAATAAATAGAAGAAGAATATATCACTTTTTTTTTTAATTGATTAAGATCACAATAAGGAGAAATAATGATAATAATAATAATCATGGCCAAAATAGTATACTAGTTAGTGTGTGTTTATGAAATGAACGAAGAAAGCTCAGTTGAATCGAACAAACAGATGGACGAGAGTTTATTGGTTAATAAAGTGTTCAACTTTCAGCTACAAATTGTTTCGGTCTAACTAAACAAACTGTATCAGTAAACTTGAAGTATAACTCAAACTAACTCCACATAGAGAGAGCCCCTCTGGGGTTACTGTCGGTCCCAGGCTTGAATAAAGGAGGAGGGTTAGGCGTGGGGGTTAGCGACCCGTAGGAAACTAACTCGCTAAGAAGACATTAACCAGAAAAGTAGCTTAAATTCAAATACACGATGAATGATTATATTTAGTAAAAGCAAATTATGATTAGTGGTTAGTGATATATAGTGAGCCAATCAGGACTGGCTGAACGAGGAAATCATCAATTATTGATGACCATTAGAAATGTTTTACAGGATGAATGGATGGATACATTATTGGTCAAGAAATTGATTCTTGTTCTTAGGGGGAGGAGAGTACACATAGCATTTATAAGTGTCTGATTCGGTAGCCACATAGGCTTTTTCTTCCACTCTTGACTTCTCGCTCAAACACTAGTCAGTTTAGGAGATAAGCTCATATCATGTTGAGATCTGCGACACCTGAATATCATAACAAGGGGATACTTTGGATGTATGAAATGCATACACTTGAATTTGAATGAAATTTTCCTTTACATTCAACATTTCCTTACTCCATAATCAATGTTTAATCGTCCTCTATAACACTGCAACAATATTCCGATCTCTTTTTTCAACCATATGGCGGTTTTTGATGTGACAAACCGTGTCCGAGAGCTAATACTCATACACACTTTCTATAAATGAGCCCAAATACTTAAGAGAAGAAGATGAAATCATTTAGCAGACAGAATAACAAAAAAAGCAAACAACTGTACACTTATTCAGATAAATATGTATCTATCCATTTAAACCTTCTCAGTAGCGTTCATGCCTCACCCCTTAGATAATAAAACTATTCCTTGGCCAATTAGGTGCACTCATTTTATTTTGAAGATTTCTCATTGAGTACACTGTATTAATTGATTCGATAAGGCTTTAAAATTTACATTAATTTATGTGGTTAACAACAGTGTCTATCGAAATGTAAATTTCCAACGTAGGGAGACAGGAACAATGTAGGGTGAATACTACTTATCTATAATATATAGAAACAATGACCGAAATGCATTGACAGTAGTACAACATATTTTGTAAAAACCATAATCTACTCTAACTCCTCCTGGAGCCGTTCTAGGGTTATTGCCGGTCTTAAGCAACGGATAAAGGAGGACGGTTGGGCATAAAGGTTAGCAACTTCATCCCGTAGACGCGAACCAGAGAAATAATTCGCTGGTCAACGGCCTATGCTCCGTTAGAGGTAACAGGCGTAAGTAAGTAATAATCTACTCTTTATAATATACAACTGAATCAAAATAAATAAAGAAAAAAAAAAGAAATAGAACAGCAAAACTAGATTGACTTACCGATCTTTAACTTGTAATAAATAACCAACTAAACAATAAGCTGCACAACTATGCAAAAAATTACGTTGTGCAGTTAAAAATTCCTCAGAATTATCACCACCATGTTCACGATGCATATAATCTAACAATGATAAATGAGCATGTCGTTTAATTTGATGAAATGATACTGTATCAGGTACTGGTTCAATAAATCCACTATCTGATGATATAACAACCACAGTTAATGGACGTAACCATAATGGAACATATTCCATAGACCAAATGTTCTATATGTAAGAAAATAAATAAATAAATTCAATTAATAACATTATTAAATAGAAGTGGATGATTGGATTGACAAGGCTGAAATGTTTAAAACGATTAGAACTATCAGTCATGGAGATAAGAGGGTTGTTTACAGGGATAGGATGGATTTAATTGTGACTAATTTGATCTCGTGTGTTGTTACGACAGTATGAGGGCGGATGTCACTTCCCGGCTGCCCAAACTATGGAAGTATGTTTCTTGAGGAACTTGAGAAGGAAGTTCGATTAGTGATGATGGTCTTTGAGAACTGGCGGCGTGACCGGAGAGCCCGAAGGACAATTGCTTCAGGATGATCACGCATGGCCTTATTAAAGAAAGTTTTTAATGTGTTAGCTCCATTCTTCAAGTGGCCTTATCGTCGAAGACAGAAATCTGCGAGGTTAGGGGTGTGACGTTTTTAGGATCGAGTCCTTTCTAAGCAGCATCGATGCAGATGATGGTAGTTCGAGGGAAGCAACTATTACTATCACACCTCTCTACAGTCAGCAGTACACTACACAGGGAATCGACTTCACCGATTTCGGTCTATCTATCGTACGAACACTTCAATCTATAGATCACTGAACCGTAATCTAATCATGTGCAAGTCTAGTTTCAATCAATCCACGATATTACATTGCAAATCAATGATCTACAGATTAAGTGTTCGTGTGAAATTTTACAACTTTTACGGCATAAATACCCTGAGATTATGTTGTTCGTAAGGTCATTCATTTAATAAAGGTCACAATGACTCAAGAAAAAGGTATACAGTTGTAATCAGTATAATAGTACAATAAGTCGTGCAAAGTAACAGAGAAATTTCATTCTGACAATAATATTGTGACTTGAATATGTAATATATGAGCAGTGTGGTCAATGTCATTATGATCAAAAATCATAAATTCATGTGAACTGGGAAAGATGAATATGTAGAGTAGGAAAGATATAAACAAAAAGGGAAATGAGAGGCGGTGGGATAAAAAGTTTATAATATCCAATGATACTGGCATGCATCAAGGTATTCGATTACTAACTAAATAAGAATTCTAGTTTTATTTATTCCGCATTTACTAATACTTCTCTTTGTCTTATTAATTTCTACTCGCGAACTCAATGAGTGTGACAGCTTGTCATTGTGTGGAATAAAATATTCTCTATTTTGATTATGAATTAATTGTAGATCTGGTTTAATGTAATCTAGTCTCTGTGTGTAGTGTGCCGTTTAAGTCACCCACAATGCTTGTTTGTCCTCGAGCTCTTCCTAGTCCGGAAAACGAAGACAGCAAACAGATTCAGTTAGTCAGTCAGTTACAATAAGGAACTTCGTACGTACGTTCATCAATTCATGTTGCCATACTACATTGGCACAGAGAGTTGGAACTGTCAATTCAAATCTCAAAGTATTAGAGAGGTAGTAGCAGTGATGAGAAAAATTAGGGCTCAAAGACATGATTTGAGATGCTTAATCAAGTGAGGTAAATTTAAAACAGTCAAGACGAATTTAGAAGATTAGGATTTGTGAGCAGATAAAGAATGGATGTATCTGTGCCATTGTAAACGATTTCGAGCTACGTTATTCAAAGTCTTTAACCATTGGCTTCAAACTGTCTCGCGGGTCTACACCAACTAGCATGAATCAGTGTCAGTTATTAATGACTTTATGGATTTGTGCCATGCTTTAGTTTGGCCACCCCTATCTTTCGCCTTTAGCAAACAGATTAACTCTCTATTGTAATCTATTCGCATTCATGACTTAAAATGTATACAATACTATACACTAAATTTTTGACCAGAAAATATAAGAAGTTACGTTGTAAATATAATAACTCAGTTATATAAATGATAGAAAAAAGTATAAACATAACGATATTTCATTAATTAATTAGATTGATCAAAATCAAACATTAACACCATTAGATGCCGGCTTAATGGCTCAGAAGTTAAGCATTCATGCACGAGACCGAAGGTCCTGGGTTCGATTCCCACGAGCAAAGGTAGTGGATGCGCCCTGCGACCGATGAGTCCCATACTAGGATGAGACAGCCGTACTGCGCTTCCAGGTTTCTAATGGTCATCTAACAACAATGAATGATTGATTAATTAGGGATTTCAATGTGTAACTCTGAAATAGTTAACTAAAAGCTTACAAACTAAAAAGTATTTAAAATCTAACAGTGGTAATAATAATAATAAAGTTTCCAATCATTACATAATAATAGTGCTGAGAATTCAACTTGTTTTGTTTGTAGCATTTTCAATATTATCATAATATTAGACAAGTTTATGATTCAAAAAAAAAAAATCCGTGGTCTCGTGATTTAATTATGTAACAACAGCAAAAAAAAGTTTAAGGTCATAACGAAAAGAAAAAATCAGATCAACATAGAATTAGCAGTAACAATGTGTTTGTGAATTAATTGATTTTCAATCAAAGAGAAATCTATCAATGCGTAGATTAAAACAAAACTTTGAAGCGCCTTAAAAGTGACGATGGTTGCAGGTTAAAATATGCTATTCATAGATTCACTTCAGTATTCTCTGGAGACGATGTCAGCCAGTGGGGTTTGGAATTAAACGTCTTGTGGTGTGTGTACCACGTAAGTTGAGCCCATTTAGCTTGGCCCAGACTTTGGACAAATTAATTAATCCATTCCACCTGAGTTATTATTCACAAGTCTTACGGTATTGTTTATTATTCGCCTATTGTTGGAGACGTTAGATCCCCAGAACTCGCTTGATTAAGGTCCTAAATTTGGACTTCGTGTTTTAACGCATGGGCTGATCAGTTGACCTTGAGATTGAATTTCCCACTCGGAAAGTGCTTGACTGTTATTGGTTGATTTAGTATTTTAGTATGTTATTTTTGTGGCTCTCCCAAGGACGTTTCTATCATATATAAATAAAATCGATTTGTGTGCTTGTGAACATCACATTTTCTGGGTGCTTGTAGAATACACTTTCTACGCCATATCAAGGCTTTTTGATATCGTTAGTGGGGTCTTGGGATGCTCCGATTAGAGTAGCCTGTTGTGTCGCTGAATCATCGATCCTCGCTGTGTTTACCGACTAAGGTGAACTCGTAATAG